CTTAGAAGCCAGGATGGCCAGACTTCGTCCCTCATACTTCAGACATGTTATCAGGAGGGACCAGTCCCTGGATAAGGACATCATGCTTGGTAAAGCAGAGGGTCAGTTAAAAAGGGAGATCCCCAATGAGATGGATTGGCCCAGGAGCAGCAGCGAAGGTCTGTGAGGATGGCATGGGACCAGGCAGGTCCGCTTCTGTAGGGCATGTGGTCTCTGCATTGGAACCAAATCTACAACAGCTAATAACAACAACACCTTTTAAGACAGCTTTTGCGGCAGATTTGTTCTATTGAATACAGCATTTGATTATTGGGTCTTCCTTATACGCACACTGATGGCGGGTCCAAGAAAAATGAAATCCTTGCTCTCTTCCATCTTTTCTGCATTTAACAGAATGCTCCTTATCCATCCAGGTGCTGTGGTTGAGCTGTAATCCATACGGAAGGCTGTATTTTTAATCTTCATCAATATGGACTTCAAGTTCTCTTCATTTTCAGCAAGCAAGGTTGTATCATCTGCGTATCCAAACTTGATGCCAAATTCTTCTTCATGTAATCCAGTTTCTCAGATTGTGAATTCAGCACACCGATTGAATAAGTACGGTGAAAGAATACAACCCTGGTGCACGTCTTTTCTGATTTTAAACCTCTCCGTGTCCCCTTGCTATTGGTTGATGTACAAGTTCCTCAAAAGCACATTGAAGTGTTCTGGGATCTCCATTCTTTGTAACGCTATCCATAGTTTGCCATGATTCACACAGTCAAAACCTTTGCATACTCAACACAGCACAAGTAAACATCTTTCTGATATTCTCTGCTTCCAGCCAGGATCCAGCAGACATCAGAAATGGTGTCCCTCTTTCTATGGGTGGACTCAAACTTCCAACCTCACGGTTAATAGCTGTGCCTTTATATCATGCAGGGATTCCAAGATGTAGCCATTATCAGTATTTTAAAACCAGAAGCTTGCCCATTAGTTTCCCGAGTTCTGCCTACATTTTAAACACCTGAGTCACTGGGATCCTGGACCACAGAGTGATGGCCTCCCCATGGGTCAGCTGTGTGGAAGGTGTGAAGTCCCCCGAGGTGAACTCCCTCATCCCAAGCTCTGCGGTGCCCTCCTCCATCCCTCCTCCCACTACCAACCTGTCTGAACCTTCTCTGTCAGTCAACTTGGTTCCGATTCACAGGGAACCTGCAGGGCAAAGCAGAATTCCTCCACAGGCTTTACAAGACTGTCAATGTTTGTGGAAACAGACTACCACATTGTTCTCTTCCTGAGCAGCTGATGGGTTTGAACATCAGACCTTCTTGCTAGCAGCCCAACGCTCAACCCACGGCGCCACCAGGTGTTCCTCCTATCAACCGCCTGGACCACCCACTTCCCAACTTAAACCCTCTCTGAGAAGAGTCACACGAATTGCATCAGTGGACTGTTTTTATTCTGAATTCAAGATGCAAACTCAATTCCAAACCACCTCGTAGGCCAGCTATATCATCCTGAAATGAGTCCACCACCACCCTGTTGTTACCGTGATTATAGGGGTGTCTCCCAGACAGAGGGCCCATTGCAGATCCTGGTGAATGGCTCTGGAAAATACACATGACCCAGAGCAAAGGGGAATTCAAAGACCCAGAAACCGCACATGCATTAGGGCCCCAGGTTTGACAAGTCGGAGAGCCGTAAAATAGAGGAGTGCAGAAAACACACTGGACTGTTGCTATTCCGGGGGAGATTACCAACCAACCCACTGCCACCGAGTCAACTCCCACTCATGGTGTCCCCGTGTGTGTCAGAGAACTGTGCTCCACAGGGTTCTCAGTAGATGATATTTCATAAATAGATTCCACTCATGGTGCCCCAAGTGTGT